TGGCTCGACTTCTGGGCAGTTCAGTAAAATATATGTATGGGCTGCATGCCATTCTTCGCTTGTTAAGTAACGAAACGTACATGCGCCGCTTGGTCGACCCAGATAATTGAAAATAGAGAATGCTTTACAATTGGGATCAATGGGGCCCTCATCATTTCTGCCTGCTCTCCGCCTCTTGCACTGCACGTGCTGCTTAAAATAGTATGATGCAAATATTGTCACTTCTTCCACAATATATGCATTACAAATTGAAGCTTCAACACATGCCTTATTCTTTACTTTTTTCTTCAAATGATATAAGAATCTAGTTGCAATAGAAAGAAGCTTATCGGAACATAATATATAATAAAGTAATTTGAACTTTATTTTAAAAAAAAATTACCTCTCAAATGGATACATTCATCGAAATTGGACGGGACCTGCAACTTTGGCCTCATAAGGCAAGTGAACTAAGAGATGCTCCATCGAATCAAAAAACGATAGAGGAAATATCCTTTCTAAGTTGCAAAGAATAATTGGAATATCTCTCTCTAGTTTCTCCATGTTTGATGCTTTTAACACTGTCGAGCAAATATTATGCAGGAAATTGCTTAACTCTGTAATGGCGCCCCATACAAAATTCGGTAGAACTTCCTTGAAAGCTATTGGAAGTAGTGTTTCCATCAATATGTGACAATCATGACTCTTCAAACCTGTAAACTTGCATTCATTCAAATCAACACATCTCCCGAGGTTCGAAGCATATCCATTAGGAAACCGCACAGATTTCAACCATTGACAAACAACTCGCCTCTGCTCTTTATCCAATGTATAAACTGCTTTTGGTTTTGGTCCCCTGCTGCTTGCATCCACATCTAGTATTGGCCGATCACAAATATCTCTCATATCTTTTCTTGCGTTCAAGTTATCTTTTGTTTTTCCGGTGACATCCATCAGAGTATTTATGACATTGTCGAAAATATTCTTTTCTATGTGCATGACGTCAAGATTACGATGAATAAGATGTGCCTTCCAATATGGTAGATCCCAAAATATACTGTGTTTTGTCCACTTATATGTACTTCCGTACGCAATAGTCGTGCCGTGAGGGTTCTGAACAACAGTTGGAAAGTCCTGCACCCGCTCCCAAATTTGATTGCCGGTCAACCTCAATGGTGGAGGTGTTCTTTCAGTCCTATTCTTGATGAGCTCTTTTTTATTCCTTCTGAATGTATGATTTATTGGTAAAAATTGTCTGTGATAGTCAAAATAGCTGGGCTTCTTTCCATGTTTTAATCTAAATGACTTTGATCTCTCCAAATATATCGGACATCCTAAGATCCCTGCTGTACTCCATCCAGATAATATTCCGTAAGCTGAAAAGTCATTTATCGTCCAAAGAAGAGCAGCCTTCATTACAAATGTTTGATCGGTAGAAACATCATATTTAAGGATACCTTCCTCCCATAGCCGTTGTAACTCTTTAATCAATGGTTGCATATAAACATCTATTAACTTTTTCGAATTTTGCCGGCCAGTCACGATCAATGTCAAAAACATATAAGGTGTCTTCATGCACATACCAGGTGGAAGATTGTACGGCGTTAAGATAACTGGCCAACATGAATAACTTTTTCCTGATTTCCCAAATGGGGCAAATCCATCAGCACAGAGACCTAACCTGATGTTTCGAGACTCTATCGCAAACTCAGGGTATATTCTATCAAAATGTTTTCATGCCTCTGCAGCTGAAGGATGACACATTAGACTCTCTTCTGTTTCATGATTTGCATGCCAAGTCATGTGTTCAACAGTGGCTTGAGACGCATAAAGCCTTTGCAATCTGGGGATTAAGGGCCGATAAAATATTTGCTTGCATGGTCTACGCTTCTAATTATGACTCTACCTCTTATTAATCTTGTACCTAGATTGGCTACAGAATTTGCAAGATTCAGCATTTTCATAATCTCTCCAATATAACATACAACCCCTACTACATACATCAATCCTTATAACCAGAAGACCTAAGTTATCCACTAGCTTTTTCATATCGTAAAAATCACTTGGCATAATGTTATCACGAGGCATTATTTCCCGCATTACTTCCACAAAAGAGTTGAAGCAATCCGCAGACACATTATGCTCTGCCTTAATATTTAACAGTCTTGCTGTCACTGATAACTTAGTGTGGTTGTCAAAACCTGCCCATAAAGGTTCATCTGCTGCTTTCAACACTTCCCAGAACTGATTAGATGAAAAAGTTCCATTACACACATTCTCATCAAAACCCATTATTCCTATCTCTTCCAATTGTGATGCATGAAGTGTACCTACTTATTCAAGTGTAGGAGTAAAACTAGTACTTGCATGGTTCGATTCTGAAATAAAATTCTGACTAACTGCATCAATCACCATCCTCTCGTCTGGGTTCAATTGGTCATAATAGCTACATTCTTCCCTAACTAAAAATTGATCACTTCTTCGATATCCTTCATTAGATATAAATGGTTCACCATGGTAAGTCCAATTATAATAATTCGGAGTAAACCCAAATCTACAAAGATGTTCTCTAACTTTATTACACACATTAAATTTACCATTACTGCACTTTTTATACGGACACCTTAACTTATTTCCATCCATGAACTCATATTTATTACTAGCAAAGTCTAAAAATAGTTCCAACCCAGTACGAAACTCATCGGTCAATCCTCGACGTCCAAGTAAGTTCTTATTATACATCCAAGCCCTGTTTCTTTGCATTGTGTCTGTATTAAAATAAAAAAATCTCGTAAATTATTAAAAATATCATATCTACTGTTCTTAATTAAAATTTTGTTTTTCATGCAATAATTACTTTGAAATTGAAAAAATTGAAAAAATTACCATGTAAAGAAGACTTACCCAAATATTTGACTGAAATCTTGATAGTAGAAAGTGGTCAATTTGATGATAATTGCAACGTTCACTTGGATTGCAAGACCTTCAATTGGACACGTACCTAAAAAAAAGAAAAATCACTTAACATTCATTTTTTAATAATTTTTATTTTTTTCATTTTTTTAATTTTTTTTCCCCTTATATTTTTCTTCGGTCGCCGGTCACTGGTTAACGCCGACGAGTTCGACCTCGCCGGCCATGGGCGAGGTCGAGCAATCTCGCCCCGATCTGAGGGAGGCCGAGCGGCCCCGCCATGGCCGCCGGTCGACCTCGCCGTCACTCAGATCTGGGCGATGGCGAGGTCGACGGCCATGGGGGGAGGCCGAGCGGCCTCGCCGGCCATGGAGCGAGGCCGAGCGGCCTTGCCATGGCCGCCGGTCGACCTCGCCGTCGCCTAGCTCGGCCTCCCCCAGATCTGGGCGAGGCCGAGCGGCCTCGTCGTGGCCGCCGGTTGACCTCGCCCAGATCTGGGAGACGGCGAGGTCGACCGCCACACCTGGGCGAGGCCGCCTGTCGACCTCGCGGCCTTGGGGCGAGGCTGCTCGGCCTCGCCCAGATCTGGGGGAGGCCGAGCGGCCTCGCCATGGCCGCCGGTCGACCTCGCCATCGCCCAGATCTGGGCGACGGCGAGGTCGACGACTATAGGGGGAGGCCAAGCGGCCTCGCTGGCCATGGAGGGAGGCCGACCGGCCTCGGCCCATGGCCGGCGAGGTCTCGTCGGTCGCCGGTCACCGGACCGGCGAACGGCCAAGAAGTTACAAAAAAAAACAAAAAAATAGTCAATAAAAAAAAATTTGAATCTAGCGACGAATAGTTTTGCGACGAACCGTATTCGTCGCCAATTAGTCACGAAATTAGCTACGATACTTACCGGTAGAAAAGCTTTACCGAGATTGATTTCTGCGCGCACGAATTATTGAGAGAAACGAAAGAGGGAGAAGGCCGGAGAAAAGCGGGGGGATGTGAGGAATCAGTACAGAGAGAGAGAAATTGACGGGTGGGGTGGATATGACGAAAGTTATTTTCCGTCATAAATTACAAATTAGCGACGAATCCGTTTTCGTCGCAAAATCCATCGCAAATTAGCGATGAATTTTTTATCCGTCGCAAATTAGCAACAGTAAAAAAATCCGTTGCTACTTTCGTCGCAAAATGGTAAATTTCGTTGCATAAATTAGCGACGGAAAATAAATCCGTCGCAAAGTTCGTCTCAAATTAGCGACGAAAAATTCCCCTTTGCAAATTTCCGTTGCAAAATTCATGTTTTTTTGTAGTGGGTGTTAAAATATTATCCGACATCGCTTGACAATAGGTTCTATATCCTCTCTATATTCTTGTGGTCTTCCTCCACCTATTAATTTAAACTTTTAGAACAATTAGTAATAGTTTCACAAAATCTCATATGATGCTAGTGCAGGAGGTCCTGGCTTACGTGTGAGGGGAGTATTAGAATACTTAAATATTAAACCATGCTTTCCTTTTTGCATATGTGCATTCAATCCCATCAGTCAAATTCTAGCTTGCACGCAGCTTAAACTTTTGGATCGGACTTTCTAACATATACTTCCTGTTACGCCCCGAACCCTAACGGGCTCGAAACACCCCTTCCTTCGGTCGTATTGAACGCGACGTTCCAGGACGCGTAGTCGACTAAAAGAAACACCCACATGTGTACGCAAGCGGAAGCGAAATAAAACAACCCAGACAATAAATAATGACAGAGGGATAATCGAAGCACAAAACAGTAATTGCATAACATTAGAAAACCGTCACTTACAACATCCGGTCATACATTTCAGGCGTTAAGCTCCTAAGGTTAATATCCACCATCATCATCATCAAAAAGGGACAGGTGGCAAGGTAGACTAACGAAATACACAAAAAGGCTCTACCAAAAGCTCCTACACCCAGTACCCAAATACCCCTACGATGCCCAATCCGAATTAGATCCTGAAGACTCGAACTCCGTGTCATAATCGATCTCAATCGGCTTTTCCTCAATACCCGGCTCCTCCTCGGGCTCGGACTCCATAGGCTCCTCCTCGGGCTCGGGCTCCATAGGCTCCTCCTCGGGCTCAGACACGGGCTTGGGTTCTTCTTCAGGTTCGGACTCCTTAAATTCTTCTTCGAGATCAGGATCCCCAGGTACTATAGGTTCTGGTACGGGCTCGGGACTAGGGTTGGGAACTTCAACATCCGGGTTCGTGACCTCACCATCGGGAGCGAGAGCAGCTGAGGGGTCCCACTCACCCACCCCGTTAAATGAAACATCACAAAACCGAAGCGGTCTGTAGATACCGTGTAAATCCTGATAATAGTACGCCCGGTACGTATTAGGCTGTAACTCCGGTCTACCCACATCTACCCACACCACTGTGGTATGCTTAACATAAGCCTCCCCGTCTCCTACAGGGTACTCTACCTCCGAGTGCTCAGTATGCCTTGGGATCTCAAAACGTTTAGGCGGATCGCTCATGGTCGAGGTCGAGGGTCTGAAATGGTTTGCATTACAGCAATGAGAATAAATCTCAATAAGCTAACAACCTAAACCCCATCTAGGCCAATGCGTACCCAGACAAGTCCCAACATGCAATTTAACCAATAATATCAAGGATTCACATAAACGTACTTAACTTGCCTCGATCCACACGTCACCTCTGCACATTAGTAAAAAACTATAATTCAATGGCTCAAGAGCACATCACTATTACTCGAGCACCATACACATGTACATTCACCAAATTCAATCAAACACATTTCGCACACGTGTCCAACCAACTATCCATGACCTGCGTCAACACGCCTCAGGTCCAGCCCTCCGATCAATCCGGGCTCAGTCCCACGTAACCACACCTCAGGACATTTCACTCGACCCGCGTAACCACGCTTCAGGTCATTTCTTGCCTTTCTAGCCACACCCGCGTAACCACGCCTCAGGTGGGTAGCCCTCCGATCAATCCGGGTTCAGTCCTGCGTAACCATGCCTCAGGACATTTCTCTCGACCCGCGTAACCACGCCTCAGGTCATTTCTTACTTTCCTCGCCACATCCGCGTAACCACGCCTCAGGTGGGCAGCCCTCCGGTCGATCCGGGCTTAGTCCCGCGTAACCACGCCTCAGGACATTCCTCATGCACATACACCACAACACAATTTGCCATACTAACACGTCATCACATCCCAATTCAAACCACAAGCTCACCACATTAGCCTACCGACCCGACATTCAAATTGGCCACATTCAAACATCAATTCCACCCACAAACGCCACGACAATTCAGTCATTTAACCCACCATAAATTAGCCACACAATAGCCACACAATCACCACCATTTAATCTATAAACCAATCACATTCCAACCAACTAATCTACTCCCTAACTTAGTCACTAAACCAATCCTAATTAACCCCTAAACAAGTCTAAAAATACCCAATGTACTAAGTAGGGATTAGGAAGTCACTTACTAGGTTTTGGCCCAAGGAAAATCGGCTTGGGACCGAAATGGCTCGGTCGGGGTAGCGGCGGCTCGGCGCGGGCAAGGGTGCAGCGGGCAAAATGGCCGGCCAGGCCACGGCGCCGCACTCGGCCACGACTTGAGACACTCGGCCACGGCTGGGCACCCGGCCAGGCGAGCGGGCGACGGCGGGGCACGCTCGGGCACGGCCTGGGCAACGGCCAGGTGAGCTCAGCTACGGCCCAGGACGGCGGCCAGGCGAGCCGGGCGACTCGGCCATAGTAGGGGTAGCAGCTGGGCTGCTCGGCCATGGCCGGGATAGGCGAGCTAGGTGGCCGGCGATGGCCAGGTGAGCGGCGACGACGGCGGGCGACGGCGGCGACAGCTGGGCGCTCGGCACGGGCACGCAAGCAGGCGACGGCGGCGGGCGAGCTGGCGACGACGGTGACGGCGTCAGGTGAGCAGCGAGCTGGGCTCGCGATGGCGAGCTGCTGGGCGATTTTCACGAAAATGTTTAATAATTAATGTATACTCCACATTCAAATAAATCACCTATTATGTCGTCGCCGTCGCCGTCGACGGCGACGGCGAGCTGGGCGGCGAGGCTCGCGGCGGCGTCGTGGGTGGTTGGGCAGCGTCGGGCGAGCGGCTGGGGGCGACGCGAGCAAGGCGCTGCGCGCGCGGAGGAGAGAGGGACGACAGTCGGGTCAGGGGGCTCGGACGGCGCCGTTGGGGCGGACGGCAAGGAGGTTGGGCGAGTGTCGGCACGAGGCGAATGGCGAGGGGCGGTCGGCGGTGACTGGTCGGGCGAGTAGAAGCAGAAGCAGAAGCAGTCGCGGGCGAAGAAGAAAGAAGAAGAAAGAAAGAAGAAGAAAAGAGAAAGGAGGAGAGAGAGAGGGGTTTTGCATGGGGCAGACGGGGAGAGGACGTGCGGGCAGGGGGGATGGGACGTTCGCGCGTATGGGAGGGGCACGGCAGAGAAGAGAGAGAGAGAAAGTCAACGCACTCGATCGCGATCCAACGGCCCACAAAAAACCCTAATTATAAATTAGGAAAAGGTCGGTAAACACTAAACAAAATACACTAAGAGAGAGGTCTACTAGTCAAAATCCGCACCAAATTTCACTTTTCGATTATGCCAAGCAATATCGACGCTGGCCACAATAATATCGACACTGTCCAATTAAATTCGTCCTGGAACTCCAAGAAATTCAACACCAAAGTTCAGGCTCTAAATAACGGCCAAATTCGATCGAATGTGATTTTAGCGAAATCTCAAATTTAAAATAACCCGAGAGTGATCAGTTCTAGGTGAGATTCAACTATAAGCGCACTGACAAAATACATGTTTTATAAATCTCAAAATGGGTCGAAATTCGGAATATCACACTTCCAAGATTAGTAAAGGTACTAACTTTTATTCAAAATTACCAACCTTAATTTAAGTGACTTGCCTCATTTTTCTACCATTAACTCACCGATTAATTTTAGCTTAATGTTTGAGTCCTAATTTTATCGGTTACTAACTATTATATGAAATTATCAACTTTTATTTGAGTCCACTTACTCACGTTTATTGATAGCCACAAAATTACCAACTGTTCCAATAGTTCACAACATGCATTTCCGAACTTATCATTGGGTTAAATTTACCAATTCTTATACGAAATTACCAATGTATTTCAAAATTACTAATTCTCTTAATAACTTGCTAACATTTATTTGTGGAGTTTAAATTATAAACTTTTATAGGAAATTACCAACTTTATCAATCAGTTGTCAATGTTTATTTGATTTTTTTTGTGAAAAATTACCATTTGTTCCAATAATCTAAGGACATCTTTTTTGCGGATCTTAAAAATAATTTAAAACCACTCATTCTGATACAAAATTAGCAGCTCTTATTTGAGCTCACTTACCAAAGTTTATTTAATTGTATTAAATGTACAATCTATTCCTATAATTTACCGACATCTTTTTTGAGGAGCTTATCAACTAGTTGTAGTTACCAACCACTTTTCAAAACTATTAACTCTTCAAATAATTTATCAATATTTATTGGTGAAGCTTGAGTAACAAACTCTAGAACAAAGTTACGATTCTTATTTGAGTTAGTTATCATTATTTATATGGTTGTTTCGAAATTCCAATCAAAGGTTGACTTTTCATAGTCATGAGATACGGGATATTTAAGTTTAAATATCTAAACCTTCCCCAAAATAAACTAGTAGCTATGTAAAGTAATATTGCATTACAGTTTTGCGATACGTGGTTGTAATTCACGAGAGCATTCCTGAAACTCCCCAAAATGAACTAGTAGCTATGTAAAGTAATTTTGCATTACGGTTTTGAAATGCGTAGTTATAATTCCCGAGAGCATTCCTGAAACTTTGGGTTAAATGCTTTGAGATTAAAAGCAAGTGAACTATTATAGCAGCCATATAATATTTGATTATGGAAAGCTCAACTGCCAATTACATTAAAGAGGAGCAGGTGATGAAGAACCCTCCAATGATTCACCGGTTTATAAATAAATTGTCAAATTTGTCATGCACCCATGATTTAAAGAGCTTTATTTTCCAAGCTTATTTGATGTTTAATTCAAAACTCGAGATCTTCATTCTATAAACTGTTATAGTAACGAGTAGAGAACTTGCCTCCATTTATTGAATTGAATCAAGAACCAATGCGAGGTCTTGAGCTCAAGGAGATAATCGTGTACTTTGGCTTATAAGTGGACTCGTTTTAAATAAAGGAGGAAGCAGGTCTGGTGCTATTAACTCCTCAAAAGTAAGATTAAATTCTGCAAATAATTTTCTTTAGTTTGGGATTAGTAATATCAAGTAAGGTGTGACTGATTTTCTATTACCTTGGAAAGATTCGATGGGCTGACGGGAAGGAAGTGGCACTATTTATTTCGCTCGCAGCTTTATTCGCTCTTTATACACATGAAAAAAAAAAAGGAACACAAAATCACCGTTCCTATGGAATCAAGCAAAGAATAATGCAGCTTTAGAAATGAGCATGCATCGTGTTCACTCAATTTAAAGCATTGCATATATTCCAGCAAATCATAAGATTGCACCGTATCATAAACATTGTAATATCGTATAGACGGCATATGTCAAAGTCATCCTATGTTCATGTCAAGAAGACCTTACGGTCACACTTTGCAAGGCGATGAGGCACGAAAACCATATTTACTATTGTTAAGCCCTAAAAATCACTTCACTCTAATTAAGTCTCGAAAAACACTTTACAACTAAGCCCCAAAACGGAATCGGTCTGTACACCTGTACATCATGTTATGTCTTAATATATAGGTTGACTACGAGCATCGAATCGAAACCACAATATAACATGCCCCCATATATATCACCAATATAAATAACATTCCATCCAAAATATTTCCAAACAAGATTCATCTGAGGCTCTAGAATATTAAATGGTTGATCCAGTTTTTAGAAAGAGCATATCATACAGTACTTTAATTTACGATTCGACTTCAACATAACAAGAAGCGAAAGGGCAAAAGTGGGAAAGCGAGAGAGAGAGGCGCGTAAAATTACAAGTCTGACAAGTACGCACCGGTCTAAGATATGTTGGGCCCCACTCACCCCAACCTGCCATTCGGCCCACCTGTACACTTGTTGACTCCCCTAATTGAACTATCGTTGACCGTGGCTCTATATATGACTTTGCAAGTTCGCTGCTTCCGTCGGTCATCACCGAGCAAAAGCCCCTCTGCTCTCCGAACAAAAAAGAAAAAGAAAAAGAAAAAGAGAAAGCCCCTCTCCTCCTACATTTCCCTCGTCAAAGCAGCGGCCAAGGGTCCGGCCGTAGAAGAAGAAAAAGAGGATATGGACCCCCAGCTTCAGCTAGCGATAGAAAACGATGATGTTGATGAGCTCCGTAGGTTAATTGTGGAGGACCGAAACCTCTTAGATCGTGCATCTGAGGACCCCTTCCCAAATACTCCTCTACATCTTGCCGCGGCCGCCGGAAAAACCCTAGTGGCCATG